ACCTCCAAGAAACCAAGAAACTACAAATGTATATATTATAAGGATGCCTGAAACAGGTGACTTAAGAAACGCGCTCCAAAAGTTACAATCATGTGCTTCCATTATCTTCTTTATATTTACCCAGCAAAACGCAAAGACGTAGAGGCTCAGGAGGTTAGTAGAGGAAACAAACATGAAAAAGTAACGATAGTTCCTCTGCAAGAAATAATGCAAATATATTAGGCCTTTGGATTGGACAAAAGAAATACATTCTAGGAGTAAAAAAAGTGAGCTAGGTAACAGCTTAAACTTTTAAATGAGATGGTCACACAATTCAACATGGTATCAGAGCAGGCAGAGGTCCTGTATTCGAGTCGCACCGCCACCCAATATCAAAAAGAATTTTCACATGCTTGGCTCATCAACTAGAATCAAGCCCGCACTGAGGGGGCGTGTTGAAGACATAATTAAGTAACTAAAAATATGCTCTCTCTAACAGTTTAAACTTTTAGATCAGATGGTCACACAATTCAACAGATACAATTGAAAAAGCATATACACAAATGAGATGGATGCAAAAAAAAAAAAGCAGAAAGAATGCACAGTATAAATGCAACTCCTTTAACCTTAGCTAACTCAAACAATGAGAATAACAAAATTATTTAGACCAGAGATATAAAGGGAAGCACAAAACAAGATTCCTTGACAAGAGCTCCAATAATGTCAAAAATTAACATGAAAGTCTAAGTATGTTTGGCAGAAGTGAAAATATTAAGCAGATGCTAAAGCACAATTTATCCAAATGACAAAACCTTTTGAAATGCAGGCATTGCTCAGACCTACCTTCCCAATGCACTGTCCCACCCATGGGCAATGGTGGTCGAAACGTTCAATGCAATTGTCGCATATGGAGCAATGAGAGCAGCGTGGTGGCCGATATAGCATACACGTTTTGCAGTATTTTACTTTGACAACTATTCCATTGACAGTAACATTTTTCATAGGCGGTAAACTGAGAGGACCAGTCTGACTTCCTAAACAACTTGTGGAGATGCTAGAGGTATCAAATTCTTCGTCAGGTTCTGGAGGATTGGTATTTCGCGGAACAATTCCAGGATCTGTTCCTGAAGTTAGCAATAGAAGAACTACAATCTGCAATAATTTACATCAATATGTTAGACATTACCTATTATACACTATCTAAATAATTTTTGACAGATAAAGACAGAACCAAAATGGGAAGTGGCATTTTTTGTTGTCCTCTTTTTAGAATAAATCGAGTGATAAAGTAGCTATAACACTAAGCATAATTACAGTACATTTTTCTTCTTGGAGATTATGAGAGGAATAATCGTAGGCTAATACGGATGAATTGGACAAAAGAGCAACCAGAACCAAGATTTGTAACTAGATTTTTACAATTGCAACATATGAACTGTGCTTATAACATGGCAATCCTATAACTTATCCTGGTAGAACAGTAACGTGCGAGTTTAAGATCTACGTGTGTATGCAGACTCTATAACATAGTTTGATCCAGTTTATGTCTTTGCTTGAATGGCATTTACATAGAAGTAGACAAGGGACTAAAAGTAATGCTAGGGCAGCACGGTGCACTAAGTTCCCGCTATGCACGGGGTCCGGGGAAGGGCCGAACCACAAGGATCTATAGTACACAGCCTTACTCTGCATTTCTGCAAGAGGCTCGAACCCGTGACCTCCTGATCACATGGCATCAACTTTACCGGTTACGCCAAGGGCTCCCCTTCACTAAAAGTAACGTTGATGGTGTTAAAAGTAACAGCAGATAAAGATAGATTTGAAATAGATACTGAGTAATAGACAAGTAAAAGAAGAGGAAAACTTACAAAGACTGAGAAGAGAAGAGATATAGCCACAATAAGATAGCCTAATCGATGGGGAAATGCATTGATGAGTCCTCTTGAAACAAAAGCACAAAATAATGCTACTGGAACTAGGATTAAGAACAAGGTAAGAAACAGTGCTCTAATATCTGGGCCAAATACAAGTCTGCCTCCAAGGTAGAATCTCTGCATAGATATAAAAGACTATAATCAGATGGTAGGGATTTATCAGTACATGATAGTCTACAATGCATATTTTTTTCCTTACATCAATTACTCTACAATGCATAGTTGAACGATTGTTTTTTTTTTTTGGTCACAACTCAAACCCGTGGCACGTATTGTCCACTTTGGCCAAACAGACCTCACGGATTTATAGCTTAGGCTAAGCTATCATCGTGCCAAAAGCGCGCATGTCATGTGAACTTGTGCACTGTCTTATTTATCACTTCAGTCATCTCTCCAATTTTTTATGTAGGATTTTCCTAAAATGTCATATGCAATCCTTCTTCAGAAGCTTACTAGCCTAAAAGTCTGTTAGTCGTTCTCTTTGACCCGCCCTCCGTGATGGGTGTCATATTTTTGGCCTAGATGACTACAACAACAACAAAAATAAATTAAGTAGGGCCTAATCCCAAGCAAACTAGAGTCGGCTATAGATATCCTCACTGACCATGTCCCTCCAACTATTTTTTTTTTTTTTTTGAATAAACTAAGGTGGTTAAATTTGTAACTTTCGTAGAATAAAACTGAATGTTAAAGATGATAATTGAACAACATGGTGCTTACAAACCAAAATATAAAATTCAACAGAAACACAAAGATAAAAAGTGCCAACATTACATTTCTTCCTTGCCAAATTTGATAAAGTCGCAATTGTGAGCTATTAGTATTGTTGTTGATTCGCGCTTTGGAATCACATCGGTCATGGCTAGAAGAAGACAGGGGAGGAGAATACATTTTCCTTTACAAACAAACGGAGATCTCACAGATCCCCAATCACTTTCAATATAAAGCATCTGCTGTCTTTATCCAATCTTTATAGCTTCAGCCTCAATCAACAACCTTGCCATAAATGCCTTTTTTTTTGTGAAATCACACAATATTTTGATCAAACTGAATACCCAAATTGCTTTTTTTTTTAAATAATGAAAATAGATTTGTAATGTAATGTGACTCTCTCCCTCTGTAAATGGTACTGGGAAATTTGTTATGACTATTCAATTCTTTGTTGTAAGGAGAGAGATTGCGAGAAAAATGAAGAAAGAAAGGGGGAAATGACTACATTTGAGCGTTAGAATTAGAAAGATGGAATATGCAATATGATGAGAAATGAAGCAAAACCAGTCCAACCATATGAGGAGCAGAAGAGTCTTAACTGAATGAACGGTCTATCGCTCACTCGGGTCGTTAAGCTTAGGGGGCGTTTGGACATGAGAATTGTAAAAATCCGGAAAAATAATTTCTTTTTTAAGTGAAAATGATATTTGATAATTAGAGATCTGTTTGAATATGAATATAATTTGGAGTTGTTTTTAAATTTTTGCGAGTGATTTTAAGTGAAAAAATTAAAAAACTGTTTTTTGGATTTTTTTCAAATTTACAAAAATTCCAAAATTCAATTTCAAGTGAAATTTAAAATTTTCATGGACAGATACTGATTCCGAAAAAAGTTAAAATTTTTCGAAATAAAGTGAAAATTTTCTTATGACCAAACATGCCCTTA